ACCGGAATTGGTTATAACGCAACCACAAGTCAAGTGATTGCATCTAAAAATGTATAGGCTAAATTATATAAGATATCAATTTCATATTATATTTAATCCAAAATTTATATTTTATTATTCACACATTTTTGTTAATCATACTATTCATTTACCAATATGTAGGTCAATAAAAGTGCAAAAATATTTCAGAAAAAAAATGCCCAATGTACGAGTATCTCTGTCGTATTTAAAGTGACACAACTGCAACGAGAACTCTGTAGCATCTTTCTACTAGAATCCCTTCAGACACTGAGGAAGAAGATGAAATTGGAGTAACTGAAACAAAAACTTGTGGAGGAGAAGAATAAAGGAAAATTATCAATTCAACCTGCAAAGAAGACGACAATTTTAGATGTGATTGCCTCTACACTTCAAGTTTTAATTGAGAGTTCAAAAGGAAGGGCTAATATGATAGAGAAGAATTTATGCACCTCAACTAGATCTTTTAATGAGAGCTCTGAATTTTTGTTGGTTAAATGTATGAAGTTTCTAAATTCAATAGAAGATCAAGATGACATTAATTACTCAAAAGCTTTACATATGTTCCAAGAAGATGCAATATGAATGAAGGTGTTTCTTGAGATGCCTGATAGCAGAAGAAAATGTTGGATTATTAATCTGAAATGACTTGTTAATCATGATGAACCCTATGAGGCCTCCTTAGCATATGTGTTTGTGTTTTAAATGTGCCATGCTTGTTTGCTTTTCACTATCATTATTGTTGTTGAACATTCTATCAGCATTTGTTATGATTATGATGCATGCTTGTGATATTAAAAGCTTGTGATGGATGTGTTGATACATTGCCAATGTTCAAATGAATTGTTCTACGAGAGATCTACTTTTCTCTTCGAAATGAAAAAGAGCATTGTGATTTTCTATCTTTAAGATTTCTTGTATGAGATATATTTCTCAAATTTTTATTTTGTATGATTTACATTGTTATCAATTTGTAACGTAGGTAAACATTATATGAACCCAATATCAGATATTAAAAGTGATGTTGAAGAAGAACTTGAACTAGCAATCACTCTTATTTGTGTTGATGATTAGGATAAACATTATTTAACAAAAGAACCATGTCGAATTTCTACTCTTCAAGTTCATGAGTATGTAATTGAAAATACTGCGAGGACATCCCATACGTTGCTTTGAAAATTATAAAATGGAACCTAAAGTTTTTCATTAACTTATATAGCTTTTTGAAGCGTCAAAATCTTATGGACTCAAAATGGCTGACCGTAGAGAAATAACTTGTAATTTTTATGTTTATTTTATCACATAATGAATGCCTAAGAGTACTTGCTTAACTTTTTCAGCATTCATTGAAGACAATCTCATGGCATTTCATAAAACCTTTGAATGCAATTTATCACTTGGGAATTGAGATTATTATTCCACCATCATTTGAGATGATTCTTCCTGAGATTCAGTGTAATCCAAAGTACTATTTTTTTAGATATGTTAAGATATTTTTTGGAGAAGATGCGAGTGTAGTCTTCGGGCACGGTTAACTGAATTAAAACATGTATCACATCCAAGAGCCCCACTTTCCACTTTCCTACTAATTTGAGACCATCAAAAATTTGCTTGATAACCTCCATAGGTGGGTTTCCCCACTGAAATTTCCCAATTAGAGCAAATTAGAATTTGTTAGTCAGGGTTAAAATTTCTGACTCAGAGAAAAAAGTGTTGGCTTACCTCCCTTTTCGCTTGCATTCTTAATAAAAGGGCAGTTACCTATACCATCACAATTCTCCTTATAACTTGAGGGGAAGACAATTGTCATCTCCCCAGGAGGATTACCCACAACGTGGGCAAAAGAGATTTTGTCAGGTTCAACCGAAGAAGAAGAAAGCTCTATCACAATAGCAAAGAAGCCCTGCAAGTCGAGCAGAGGGCTGAAGTGGTCAAGGCGTAGCTGCGCAGCAGAATATAGGAACCGCAGACCGCAGATGACAGATGCGAATAAGTTGCAGCTCGACAGAGTCCAAACCGAAGCCGTGCAGAAAAGAAACCATGGCACGAAGGAGGACACGACTCCGCAGAAGCGAATACGCCTAAGCAGGAAGACGCCGCAAAAGCAGAAAAGAACCGCGACGAGAAAGAGAATACGAAGATCGCAAAGGAGCGCAAAGTCCTTCGTCGTATTTTTAAAAAAGTTAAAAAATATTCAACTAAATATGTTTTATATTTTTTTTATTTTTAAAAACAGATAAATCATAACAGTATCAAACACATTTTCTATAAATATAAAACAGAAAACAAATATGTAACAATAAAAACAAAAACAAAAACAAAAAATAAAAAAGTGATCCCAAGCAAACCCTAAGAAAATAGTTCACCTTCCAATGATGCTCATTTTTTATCAAAAGAGACATGATTGTTAGGGAGTTTTCCTTGCACTCTCTTAAAAGTTGTCATTTGCTCTCAATTTCTAATAAAATAGGAAGTTTTCCATAAACTTTCTTATGTGTTAGACATAAGCTCCTAACTTTTAATAAAATAATCCATTCCAGTATCTTTTTTTTATTATACTACATTTTTTATAATTCATTCGCATGATGTATATGTTGGCATAGAAAAATTGAGCGTTATCATTACTACGAAAATTATAGAACATATTCATCCTAATGTTTAGGCAACTCTACCGAATATGCTCTCTGCATTTTACATACAATAGAATCTATCACAACCTCAAAGCTTTATAGCATTTATAGAAAACTAGTGTGATACTCGAGAGTTAACTCAAATCATAATGGAAAAGCAAATATTATTGTTGAAAACTAAGAGGTGTTACAACAAAGACTCTTAAAACAAGAATAAAGTGACAAAAAAAACTAATTGCCCATGGGGTGAGTACAGGAAGGTGGTGGGTTGCGGCTGGACAGTGGCTAGGTTGGTTGTTTTGGGAGAGGCAGCCAACAATAGAGGGATGATGGGGTTACGGCGGCAAAGGGAAGGTTAGGGGAATGTGGCACCAAGTAGGAAGGTGGGCAGGGGTTGCAGCAGTAATTAGATAGGTTTATGGGAATTGTAACACAAGTGAAGGGGAAGGAGAGTTGGCCTTCGGCAAGAGGGGGCCGACTAAGAGCAGGCTACAGCAAGCCTACATCTGGATTGTGGAATAGGCGATTGGAAGGAGGCTAGTGACTGGATGGCGAAGTTGATGGCTAGAGCATAAGGTACAGGACATAGGCGGCAACAAAAGAATGCTAAGAGGTTGGCGGCTAAGAGCAGAGAGGTGCAAGAGATGTAGGCAGCAGCAAGGAGAAGGTCGGGAGATTGGGATAAGCAAAGATAATCACCACTTTGAACCAGAATACATCCGAAGCACTATCTGTCCTCATATACAGCCCAAGAGGAGAAATTAGTTGTCATCAGCAAGCAGGAAAGAAATCTGAAAACAGAAAATGTCCTAGAACAAGTAAAAAAATGCATATAAATAGACTAAGTAAAATAGGAGGGGCCCCATCCACTTGGGTGGCAATCGCAAATCCTATGAGGACTAGCTAGCCTTCCTAATCCCCCATTTCCACCCTGAACTGACTAAACCAGTTCGGTTGGACAGCCCCACATCATGGTGCATTTTAGTTTTGCATTGCCTTTAACTTTCAAGATCAATCGAATAATATTTTCAACGTTAAGCATTATTACCCTATAAGTATCTTCAGTATTACTTTCTAGAAATCAATTTTTTGTACCGAGAGGGGGCTCTTATAACATCAATCTCATCATAATTTATGATCAGAACCCACAATATAAGAATGAGCAAATATTACCTTATTTTACTAAGAGATATGCATAAATGAAATTATTAAATTAATTTTACCATGGCTTATTTTCTAACTTACTACATTTATTTCATTAAACTAATTTATGTGTTTATTATGTTTCTTTATTTCCTTGTAATCCTAGGCTTCCTTCGATCACAAATAAGTCTCGTGGGGCTAAGTTGAGATCATTATTGATTAGTTTGATGAAATAATTGGCTGAATGCTTGATTTATCTAAAAGAAACCCATGCTTTTTTTAGGAAATAAATGAAGGGCTATTTGTGAAGTTTTCCAAAAATTCTTTAACATAGAATATAAAAACAAAAACACTAAAGATAGATAAAGCCACTGAAAAATTTTACAGTAGAATTAAATTCTTAGAAAGATGCAACAGTACAACAATAATAGACACGAGAAACTTTGAACAAGCATCAACAAAACATAACATTAAGGTACTATGCCAAAATATATGACGAAACATTTAATCTCAAAACAACAAACAAGAGTGCTTGATCTCAAGTAAAACTAGAAGTGTTGAACAAACCAGGACAAAAAAGTGAGATGACTTGGATTATTAAAATTGGTTGCTACTACCACAAAACAAAGGGAAACATAGACATTAAAGTGATAAATGTGATTTGAAGACCTGGAGATTAAGCTTACAAGTATCATTTAAAACAGACGGCTATTCAAGAGTGTTCAGGGATTTTTATAAGCAAACATGTATAATTTCTAGCAGGTGAAATCGAATAAAAATAAAAGTGAAACAATCAAAGTGAAATGCATCAATATTCGTTGAAGGACGTATTAGATGTCAAAAAGAGACCCCATTACTATGGATTCAATTCTAAATAGACTAGGCAAAAAACTTAAATTACCTGGAGAAGAAAAAACAACCTGCAAACCATTTTTTGAAGAGTTCTCCTTTTATAGGAGAATAGCACAAAAGAAAACTAATAGGCCAACAGATTAAAAATAAAGCAATACAAAATCGCCAAAATCATAAACAAAAAAATTCAAATAAAAAAATCGCACTGAGTTAAGCTAGATAGAACAAAGGCAAAGGTCCTCAAAAAAACTCTCAATGGACTTGAGGCTATGTATGATATAATAACAACAAATTCGAAAATGATAACTTACTAAAATCAAAAAAAAATTTTGATATAAAAATTTGCTAATTAATTACCTTGTATGCAACTGCAAGTGAAGTGACCGACTCCTGTATAGTAAGACGGAGAGATTGGTCTTCCAATTTCAATGATGTGAACAGTCGAACAGCCATATCGATTTTGTCCCTGCTTGAGAAATAAATATAATATAATGCAAAGTTGTTTTCATGATTCATGCATTTGACCTCCCAATCACATCATAGGCAAGTTAAGCGTTGCAACAACATTACTATAAATACAGTAGTAAAATCATCATTAGCATCATTCCAACTATTTGAGGTCAGCTTTATGATTTAACATTCTCAAATTGTTCCATTAGAATGATGCATGAGTACTTAAACCAAACCTGTATTTTTTTTTCTCAACTATCATAGATCAACCAATTTTTCCTTTTTAATTTGTCAAGTTTATTTTTGTCTACATGCCATATTGGTGCATCTTCTACAATACATAGTGCAAGTCAAATCAGCTACGTCTATGTTCAGCTACCTTAATAAAATACTAGTCTCATTGTCCCTCTAAGAAAATTATTTCATAATCTAATCTAACCATGAAATCATCTTAGTATTCTCATTTTTTTATGCCAATATTGACAATTAGTTATTTATCACCCAAACGTCAATCCACATAGCATAGCCAAAATGCAATTTTATAATTTTTGGCAGTAAACCTCCGTCAAATTCTCTTATCGTACAATACTTTTGGGGCACTCTTCAATTTTAGACACCCAACTTTGACTCTGCAAGGTATATCATCATTCTTCTAAACAATAGTCCCAAAATACTTAATCCTAGCACACAACATATCACTTTGTCTACTAGCAACATTGGCTGCTAATTATAAGCCTTTATCTTCTATATAGTTTGTTTAATGTTCATTTTTTTTTTACTAATTTCAGTATATATCCCATCAACTAGAACTATGTCATCAACAAAATATATAATAAAAAATTATATCACTTCCAAAATTCTTTGCTAGCACCTTTATAAATAATCCAATAAAACAAGAACTTAATGTTAATCCCTGATGTAATCCTACTATGAATAGAGCACTTTAATCACTCCACAATTACTTATACACTAGTTAATATCCCATCCTACAAATCTTTAATAACTTTAATATACCTTTAACATAAATCCTTTCTTTAATACACACCAAATCAATTCTCAAGCTTTTAAAATTTTAGCTTCCATTTAATCAATATAAATCTCAAGCATCTGCATATAATAACATCTAAAGAGCGTAGTTTTTTTTTTTTTTAATAACCTTTTCCCCCCTAATAAATACAGCCCTAAAATGTATGCAAACATTCTCCTAAAATTGCATTGAAAAATCTATAACTATTTTTCTTTCCTTAATGCAAAGAGAAGAATTCTTATGATTTAGTGACTACAATTTTCAAACTGAGTGTATTTCTTATTTCCTGAAGTATGTGTTCTCTCTTGCAACATATCATTTTATTATAAATTAAATATAGTTTCGCCCGTCGCATTTCCATATTCTATTCCATACCATGAATTCTGCTATGGCCATCATATTAAAATCTTATGTCTATTTAGGTCAGCCTCAATAATTACTGTGTGCATATCACTTGCACCAGCACTCTCTATTCAAGAATTTATAAATATATAATTATATTGGAAAAAACTTCATAAATTTATGAAGGCATGTCTTCTTCCTTGTATTCCATGAAATTGTTGAAAGATCCATAAAAGAGAGTTTTTTATCTCAATGGTGCCCGAGTGTAGGGTTAATTATATTTTTTACTCGTATAACAATCACGATATATGAGTGTACTATTTTTTATGATGTCACTTAATTGCACTTGTTTGATGTATTACCTAAACAAACTCATTTCATATTTATGTTGTGAGATATATTTTTGTTTATGTGGTTTGCAAGCGGAGTTTGATTTTAATCCCAAATTTGAGTGACGAAAACTATAGGTTTGCTATTTCTCCTTTCGGTATTCTTCGACGAGCATCCCAGTGAATGTGAGAAATGTTGAAGAGAAGGATTTCGGTGATTTAGAGTGATTTTTTTTGTCGGGTCGGATAAGGAAGAGAGAGCGTGGAGCGAGTCTGGTAAGTTTTCTTTGTATGTGAAGAAAAAACTTATGTGAGTTCTTTGTAAAATCTTCTGAATTTCATAGTACAAATTTTGGTGGTGTGGCTCTATTGTTTTTTCTCATTCTTGAATTTTTCTGAGTAAATTCTCGTGAACTTTTATAATTGCTTTCATTCTACTTTCTTAACTTTTTTGTTCCGGATTTCTCGAATCCTATGATTCTATTCCGCAGTGAATTAGAAGGTGACTCTTTCACAGCAGTTTCCTTAACAAACTGGTATCATAGAGGGGTTCGATTCGAGTGAGAATAATGGCCGAAGAAGCAAGGTTCAAAGTAGATAACTTCAATGGGACGAACTTTGCTTTCTAGAAAATATAGGGAGAGGATTTGTTGTATCAAAAAAAATTATATTTATCACTACAAGTAATCATAAAGAAGCCTGAGTCTATGCCTATGGAGGAATGGAAAGTGTTGAATTCGAACGACACTGGGTTTGATCAGGTTGACACTTCCCTCATCTGTTGCATTCCACATTGTGAATAAGAAAACTATGGTAGATCTCACGGCGACACTGGTCAAGATCTATGAAAAAACTTCTACTTCCAATAAGGTTTTCCTGATGAAGAAGTTATTCAACATGAAAATGGTAGAAGGAAATTTAGTGGCAGAGCATCCCAATAACTTCAACACTGTGACAAGCTAGTTGTATTTTATGGGGATCAAGTTTGATTATGAGGTCAGAGCACTACTGATACTATCCTCATTGTCGGAAAGCAAAAATGGTTGGATAACGGCGGTGAATAACTCTTCAAGGACTTCAAAGTTGAACTTTGATGACAACGTGGGTCTAGTGCTGATCGAAGAAGTTTGTAAAAAAGCAGTGAATGGTGAATCTTCAGATTCTGCATTGAATGTTGATAACAGAAGAAAGAATCTGAGCAGAAATACAAGCAAAGGCAGATCCAAGTTCAAGAAAGGAAAGCCCAATTCAAACAAAGGAAAATGCTGGAACTACGGTAAGAAAGGGCAATTCAAGAAGGATTGCAAAACTCCAAGGAAAGTTTGGGATAGATAGGAAAGCAGTTTCTCTACTAATGTTTTCAATTGTGAAATCCAAAGTGACTCTCTGGTGTTATCCCTAGCCAGCACTGAATCATGAATAGTGGATTCAAGTGCCTCTATACATGCTTGCACAAATAAAGAGGTATTTAAAAACTAATATCCTATTTAAGGCCAACAGTATAGTTGGAACGGGTGGTGTTGATATCTAATTGCTTAATGGAATAGCCTAGATGCTTAATGAAGTCAGGACATGCTCCTAGCCTGAAGAGAAATCTCATCTTCGTGAGCCAGCTAGCAAATTCAAGACTCATGACTACATTTACAAGTGATTCGTGGAAGGTGAACAGGGCGGCATTGATGATGCCTCGGGGCAACATTAAAAGCACCCTTTATCTGATCAATGAAATGATTGATTTCATTGATGTGGTTGGAATAAGAGTGGATGCAGATCTATAGTATCGTAGGCTTGGCCATGTGAGCGAGAAATGTATGAAGTCCTTACTTTTAAATAATAAACTTCAGGGTCTGAAATCAATTGATCTGGATTTCTATAAAGATTGTATATATGGCAAGCAGAAGAAAGTTGTTTTCTCCAAGATGAGGCCAGTGGTGAAATCAAAGAAACTGGAATTAGTGCATACTGATATATGAGGTCCTAATCCAGTTCATTCCATCGGAGACTCTCGATCTTTTGTCACATTCATTGTTGACCACACAAGAAAGGTATGTGTTTATTTCTTAAAGTAGAAATTTGATGTATTTGAAGTCTTTAAGAAATGGAAGGCTGTGGCGGAAAATGAGACAAGCTTGAAGCTGAAGTGTCTCAAATCAAATAATGGGGGTGAGTATCGTGATCAGAACTTAAAAAATTTTTGTACTACAGAGGAGGTCAGGCATGAGCTCACTGTCCTAAGGACACTGCAACGGAATGGTGTGGTTGAGCGCATGAACAGAACAATCACAGAGCGTACTAAAAACATGAGGTTGCATGCATGCTTACCAAAACAGTTTTGGGCTAAAGCAGTTAATACAATAGTTTATCTGATACATTTTAAACCATCAGCACCTTTGAAGGAACACCTACTTAAAGAAGTCTGGAGTGACAAAAATGTATGTTTATCTCATTTAAGAGTATTTGAGTGTTCAGCATATGTGCATGTTCATTGAGGGTGCAGAAGCAAGTTTAACTCAAAATCAGTCAAGTGCATAGTTTGGGTACAACTTCTGAGAATCAAAAATTTATCAGGAGCAGAGACGTCACATCAATGAAATGGAGATGCACGATAACAGGATTAGAACTCAGGATATTCCTTCAGCTACTTTTGAAAAAACCAAATATATGAAGATAGAATATACTGGTTATTAGAAAAATGGAGAACTAACAAGTGCTCAACAAGAAGAAGCATTGAAAGTTCCTCAGTCACCTGCTACAGATGTCCAATGATCCAGCAGAGTGAAACAACACATACAAAGGTATTTCCTTCATTACACTTTTTATTATTAACTGATTGAGATGAACTAGATTGCTTTGAGGAGGCCACTCAAATTAATGATTCAAGAAAGTGGGAGCTTGTCATGGATGAAGAAATGCAATTTTTGGAGTCAACTCAGACTTGGGATTTGATGGTACAACTAAATGGAAAATAAGCACTGCACAATAACTGAGTTTACAGGCTGAAAGAATAGTTAGGTGGTAGCAAACGCTACAAGGTAAGACTTGTTGTAAAAGTTTTCTAACAGAGGGAAGGAGTGGATTACTCAGAGAACTTCTCCCCCAGTGGTGAAGATTACTACTGTAAGGGTTGTGTTGAATCTAATAGCAGTGAAAGAAATACATCTGAAGTATATGGATGTAAAAACAACTTTTTTACATAAAGATTTGGAAGAGGAGTTGTACATGGTGCTACCAAAAGGTTACAAGATTCCAGGCAAAGAAGGTTTGGACTACAGATTGAAGAAGAGCTTTTATAGCTTGAAGAAGACCCCGAGACAGTGG